TTATTCGATTTAGAACTATTATTCGATTTAGAACTATTATTCGATTTAGAACTATTATTCGATTTAGAACTATTATTCGATTTAGAACTATTATTTGATTTAGAACTATTATTTGATTTAGAACTATTATTTGAATTCGAATTAGAATTAGGACCAATTGTCAATTCTAAATTAGCTTTAACATCTTCAGCTAATGGTCCAGAACCTTTAGCATTTCCAGTATTTAGAGGGTCACCTTCCGGAGTAATAATATTAGTAAAAAGTGGGGGTAAATTGGCTCTTGTGATATCAATAATTGGTAATGGATCAGTAGAATTACCAACTAATTTAATATCAGCACAATTTTGATAAAATTCTCGATCACCAACTGCATTAATCCAACTCCATGAGAATATACATTTTCCAGGGTTATCACATGAAGGAGCATTCTCAGGAATTTTAACCTTCCAATTATTAAAGAATATATCAGGACAAGTTTTATGATAAGTAGCAATGACAGTATAAGTTACACCACCGTCATAACTTAAAGCGAATTCACATAAACCACCATTATGACGAGCTTGATCATTATTTGGATTGGCGGTTTTTATATCAGGAAAATTAGGATTAAAGAATTGAACATCAATTACTTGACCAGCTTGAAAAGTGGTTACAATTTTTGAGTCAACAGGGTAACCACCACATGGAAAAGGTTTAGGATTACAACCAGCACCACCGTTTAATGGAGCAATTATACAGCTAAAATCTTTTACAGCAGCATTTGGATTTTTAGGATGACCACGAACTGGAGGATATAACATAGAAGAATGAGCAGAGACTAATTGTGATATAGTAGAAAAAAGGGATACGAAGGTTATTAAAGCAGTGATGAACTTCATTTTTGGAAGAGTTTTTAATATATATATAAATTGAATCAACAATCAAGTTGACAAAAATAAAAGTGTTCTTTGATTAAAAAGTTCTAAAAAAACTCAAATTCCAAGCGTGAACGGAAGGGAAGTTCTAGACCTGCTAGGGAAGAATATGAAGTGTGTGTTTTCTATTATTTTTTTTTTCTATCAAAACTTATGTAATTAGCAATAGAGCCCGTCCTGGGGAATATTGCTTTTTCTAAAAGACCAACGAAAAAAAGTAGAATTAAAAGAGGATGAGGAAAAATTTGAGTCAACTCAAGGAGCATTTATATAACAAAGTTTTTTCGAAGTAACGCGTGTACTATAAAATTAACCACGATATAATCTTTAATACGTTGCATATCAATATTTGGGCGGGAGATTTACTCTACAAAACCAAATTTGGTAAAAAATATATCACAAGGTTATTAGATGTATTAAATAACAAAGGGAATTTTTTAATATTTTTAATACATCTCACATACAGTGCTTGGTATAATCTTTTTTGTTTCATAATGTTCATAAGTAGACGAATACATTAATTCATAATAGTTCAACCTACATGTAACAGTTGGTTCTATATTTTTGATTCGTATATAAATATATAATATATAACATTGTTCTTTATTGTTCGTTTTCATTATTTTTAAACCTGTTTTTGATTGGATAATCCTGGCTTTCTACTGGAAACCGAAATATAAAAATATCTTTTTTTTTTTTATTTATTTTTTTTTTTTTAGATTCTTGATTTTGAAACGAATTGCCCAAAATGTTTGATCAGCTTCTGCTTTTTTTTAAAACTTCCGACTTTTAAAAAAACAATTGAAAATTGTATAATTTGAATATAATATCATTAAAAATCGAAAGTTGAAGATATTTTAAGACAAAGAATATCAAATTGTCTATATTTCGCAAATCCAGATCAGTATGACGTAGAGCAATTTCATAAAAATACTATATAAATGGGTAATTATTTTTGAATCCAGACCAAAATGTTATACGTCATACATAAAATTGGTCCGGGTCCAAAAATAATTACCCAAATACAAAGCATTTATTGTGCAGTTGAAGCTGAAATTTAAGTTTTTACTGAAGTAGGTTTGACATCATTCGACGAATTAAATGCATCCGGAAAATACGTATCAGATTGGTGCGCCGTAGAAGTTGTTAGAGAAAGATAAAAAAACAAACAAGGTTCGAATTTATCAATCTAAGTTGCCAAATATATAAAAGAATTAATTCGATGTACTGCATTGTTGTGCTTTATAATTTGTATTTCTTTATCTTCGTGCTTTCATTGGGTTAATTTTCTTTGTCCATTAACAATGATAAAGAATAGTACATTTAATAAAATTGTTAACAGTAGTTAGAAACGGTAAAATACTATTTATACTATGTTAAGCCTCCCTTAATAAATTAATCTACACTTGTTTCACGTAAAGAATGACAAGAATCTAATTCCCATCGCTATTCAGTGAGTTAAATCAAATGATATTCTATTGCTAGCTATAATACTTTGACCACCATACACCATTGCCCTCTAATTTTAACACAACTAAAAACATGACTGTAAGTTAATATAATGAAGCAGAAATAATGTTTTTTTTTCTTTAATTTGTTCACATAACAGATAAATTACTTGACATGTACGTACGTATGTACTGTACAGTCGCACCTATTTTTAATCGATTAGGTGCATGAATTTTGCCATTGTTTATCGCATACTCTGATTTGTCATCTATATCATATAATATAGCGATAGACGAATTAATTGGATAACGAATTCTGCATTTGCTGAATTTATAGTTAAATAGTGTATTTATATTAAACTCCGAAATAACACTTGATAATTATCTTAAGTTAAATCAAAATTCTTGCATAGAACTATTAAAAAATATATAATGTCAATAATGTTGACCAGATTAGCTATAAAACCTGTGCGTACAAATAAATACGTGTGAAAAAATAAAAATATTGCAGAATTCTGCACATATTAAACCGGAGAAAAATAAGCTTAATTTGTGTTATTTTAATACAAAAAGCGGATGGATTGTAATACATCAATAATAATCAATACTAAATATTAATAAGTAAAATTACTATTTCCTGCATGAAGATGTCTTATGACAAGATCATGGCTCCATCAAGCAAAGCCCGAAGAAATATCCCTTGG